GCAAACTCTGATGCAAGCGAGGAAAATGAAACCGTACTCACTGCATTTTAATCCGATATGCTTAGATTATTTTTATTCATCGTTGCCCAATGACTTTACCATTATTATTTAGAGTTTCCATAGTTAACTTTAGTCATTTTCTGTTCTAACAAACTATCACATTTTGCAATAATAAAAGATTTAATCTTTAAAGACTGGGTTTTTCAACTTTCACGGATCAATCTGTGTGTTCTTCAAAAATCAAGTGAAAAATGATTGTCGGCAATCAAGAATTAATGCAAACTAACGCAAGCGTTTTATTGTGTACTTGTGTGTGTGTGTGTTTGTGTGTGTTTGTGAGTGTGTGTGTATAAGAGAGAGAGATTATTTAAAGGGAAATAATTTTAATAATTGCCTGAACCCCGCAAATATTTATATACACTTCTTCTTCTATGTGCCGCGTCACTTCAGGACATAGTCGATCATGACTCTTCACATTTTTCTATCTCGTGTGGCTCTTAGCAGTTTTTCTCCCTTTGCTAAGGCTCCACCTCCATTCCGTCATCCATTCAGTGACTCACTGTCACCCCCTATCTCTATTGCCCTCAATATGCTCTGTAAGTTTTCCAAACCCTCCTTCCTCCTTATGTGTCTTCTCCTGATTTTGAGTATAAGTGTTCTTTCTGTTGCCATTTGCTTTAAAACTTCCTTGTTGCTTACTCGCTCCGTCCATGGAATTTTCAGTATCTGTTATATACCGTACCTATGAACATTAATGGGTATGTCCCAATCCTCATAAATACGTTGGACACTATTGTAAGTGGCGGTAATATGCTGTCTAAGTAGTCCATTATTAGCAGTGGTTTACCTAGTTCACGCCGCTGGCGAGTATTGTATTTTGTTGATGTTATAAAGATTACCATTTCATTTCCAACCTCCGTTTTGGTTATTCCTCATTCAGTAACCCTTTCTAGGTTACAACAGTATCCTTCTGTAGAACAACATTTCTACTGCCGCAAGTTTTTTTTTTCTTCCTCATCCATGTGGCGATTGTCCAGCATCCACTGCCATATAAATGGATGGATATCACATAGCAATCCAACACTCTTTCTAACGATTTCTTTCTGTTTCTCAACACATTGCTTAGCGTTTAGAATGCTTCTTTCGCTCGTCCAATGTGGGTTCCGATCTCGGTGTCATATTTTCCATGCTCTGTCAAAATACTTTTTCCAGGTATTTGAACTTCAACACCTGCTTGATGTTTATATCCCGAATTCGTAACTCGCACCGTGACCTTTTTCTCTTGCTGATAACCATTTATATATTTCGAAGATATAATTGCAAATACATATTTTTGTTTGCTTATTGTGTAATCTTTTTCTTTATATTTCTGGGATGTTTTTTTTTATATAATTTTACTGAATTTCAATTTCTCGGGGGCATTTTTTGTTGTGGGTTTCCTTCCATTATGCTTTCCTTTTTGTAAATAGCTCTTGGATTAAATACCAACCTCATAAGTTTGGAAGACAACTTTTTATTCATTCTATGAGAAAAGAAACCATTATCTTGTCAAATATAAACCTGCTAGATGGTCATGTTTTTTTTTTTTTTTTTTTTTCTCCTTCTGTGTATTGGGCTCTCCGGTAATCTAATCCGAAATCTTTGGTTGGATTGTTGATGGATATCAATTATAAATCATTCATTGTGTGGGAGTTAAAGAAACGTGAGAGCGGTGATTATCTCAGGTTGAGGTTGTGACCGGGGAACAATTTACGCTCAGTGCTTTTGTCGATTATTTGGGTTAACTACAAAACTTGTGGACGGGGATTACCGAAGCATAAAAATATTTAGAAGGCGCAAGGCTTTCTGCTGTTGCTGTTGTTTTGTCCATCGTTTTCTCTTTCACAAGGAACATTGAAGACATGTCAGAAATATTCATTGGCATGGCCATGTGAAAATAAGTATAACATGTCGCTAAATAAAAAGGAAACTTTTCAATATTGTATTTCTAATCAAAGGCTCCCAATTCCTGCTTTAAAACAGCTGAACACGGCGGAAACATTGAAACAGGCTTTCAAACATGGGAACTTGTTTCCTTCACCAACTCAATATCTATTGGGCTTAGATCGTATAAAAAAAATCTTGTACGGATGATTAGTAGAATTGTTTTTTTTTTTGTTTTTTTTTAATTTCCAGCAAAGAAACTTGTATTTTTATAATGACCCGTTGATAAACATCGAAATATAAACTAAGTCACCTACATTTCTTCGATGTTATTCGAATATTGACTACCTATGTATAACACGCACACAGGGCCGGCTTTAAGTGATATGCACCCAATTGGGAAAGTGTTGGCAGGCGCCAGTTTTCAAAGCATAAAATATGAACCGAGAGTATAATGTTCGAGAACGTAGCTTAAATTGGAAGTAATTTGCCCAATTGATTAAGGTCGGCCCTGCACACACATACGAGTATAAAATAATAATTTGTCAAATTAGTCAATACACACACACACACACACACACACACACACACACACACACATATATATATATATATATATATATATATATATATATATATATATTATTATATTATTTATTTATTATAATTTTATCATATAGACAAAACCATTTTACTCACTACAAAGATGCAACTTCGTTTCAGTGCATTTCAACTGCACTTCGACGGGTGAGAATCGATAAAATTATGAGAATGATAAAATTATAATAAATAAATAATTATCGCTTTACTATCGGTATCGAGCCCTCTTTTGGATTAATGCTGTGAACGTTGGAACTTATATATTTCGTTCTCATTGCATCGGATATATGCCATATATCGCCATATATATATATATATATCTATATATATATATATATATATATATATAAAACGGTGATAGGGAGTGCAGCTGGAACAAATGTGCCTGGCATCGAAATCCGAGAGGCCTCAAGAAAATACCTTTAGAGGTTTGTGGGAGTACAAAATGTAGAGAGCAAAATTACCAATCGATATTTTATTGAAAAAAAAATACGGAGACTATAACCAATTCCAAAGCAGCTTAATGTGCATTTTTAGAATTTTCATTGAGGCAAAATGCGCGAGGAGTTCTTCAAAGTCTAATTCTTGTGTCAAATCACACTCGATCGCAAGGGTTGCCAAGTAAGACATACTCTTTAAAAAGTCTTGTAAGACACGCTAGATCGAGTTGGTTTGTCCCAACATTTCTTTTTCTGACTGGGGTGATTCAAAATAATCTGAGTGCCGGACCTCGGAAATTCTCTCCCGGGTACTGTATGTAGTTTATCCACGACTTCGTACTCAACACCTTATTCGAAAATTAGGAAAATGCGATAAAATCTTAACCAGACGGACCTTGCCGGTTCAATTTTAATCAAACGTTTTGGATAAATAGCTTCCGCCTAAATATGCCTTTATATATATATATATATATATATATATATATATATATATATATATATATATATATATATATATATATATAAAGGCTTAAACACTAATATTCCATGGTCATAATTTATTCCATTGAAAACGTAAATACGATCCAATTCATCAGACCTACAAATTCAAAAAGAAAACAGAAAAAACAACTCAAACAATGAGGATAATTACACAAACTGGAAAAAGCTTTTAAACGAGGAGTTTCGCTGAAGTGACGCGTGTTAGGTTCAGTTTTTTTCAGGTTGGAATGAAAGAAAATTTGTGGAAAATGAACTACAAAATACGGTAGCTTCTTTTGTCCGAGGGAGATAGAAATTCTAAATTTGCATCATTAATCTTGATTTTTTTCAGCTGTTTTAAAAATATAAAGAGCTTGAAACTACAGAAACTACCAGCGAATTCTAGCAAGGTATTCCTATACCAAAGTATTATACAATCGAAAAACTAAATTCAAAGTTGTTGCCTCATATTCTTCAAGAGTTTCAGAACGGGGTTTCCATTCATAGCGCAAAAATCTAAGCTTTCTGTATCTTCCCTTTGCATCGTGGTTTTTAACAAATTTTTGATCTTACGATAATCTCTTGCTAGGAATGTAGTAATTTCTAATATTGTTTTATGTTCCGTAAGTATCGTATTTGACCGCATATAAGGCGCATTTTTTTTACTAAAAATATCTTTTAAAATTCCCCTGCGTCTTATATGCCATATGTAGTTTTAAAATTCGTGATAGTCGGCCGAAATTAGCAACCTGGCAACTCCTATTAACTTGGACTTTAGAGTAACATATATATACCTATTGCCATTATTTAAAAGGCTCTTACGCAGATTAAAAGTGTTATCATTGATAATATTCATTATATTAATTTCATTACGTTTAATATTAATACTTTGTTTTAGTAAAATTAAATTCAAATTATATATTTGTAAAATATATTTATTTCATTAATATTTTTCTTGCGTTAACTTCCAGCTACATTGGTCTAAATACAATCAGAATTTTTATATCTTAATTATTCCAATAAGTCGTTTGCAGGACACAGGTTGTACAGCTCATATAAAGGATATAATAAAGTTTTAATAGACTCGTTTTCTTTTCCTATTATTTTTCGTTTAGCTGTAATCATGGCTTGTTTAACCAAAATAATACCTCATAAATATAGCCTAGGCTGTACCATTTACTACTAATTTTAATAATTACTAATTTTTTCTTGATTTGCCCTTTGAAATTGGGGTGCCTCTTATACACCCGTGCCTCTTATATGCCGTCAAATACGGTATTTAAACAAATTGTACCTTATCATCATTAAAAAAACATGCATTACGTGTTGCAAAATGATTGGGGGGGAATATCACAATAATGAGACTAGGAAATGTCTACTCCTATCCGAGCTGCTTTTGTAACCGCCCCCCACTTCTTCCAATGAGTCCTTTAGTCCTCTCATGCTTGCCTTGGTGCACGCCACCACGGCTTAAGCATGATAATTCCGACTCAAGAAGCTCTACCACCCTGACTTCTAGATTAGTGACTCCGTTGGTATGCCAATATATTTAATTTCTTACGGCCATATCACGTTGAAGCATCGGATCCGGTACGATCACTGAAGTTAAGCAACGTCGAGCCTGGTCAGTATCTAGTTGGGTGACCGCTTGCGTATATCAGCTGCTGTAAGCTTGGATGTGTGGATAGTGTAATGGCTTGGAGTTATTGATCGGAGAACCGAGTTTCAATTCCCGTTTTATTCACCTTGAGAAAGGTATGAATACAACTCTATGGGTTTGTTAGTAAGACTTGTATCATTAAAACCATTATTACCTCCCCGACCCCCCACTCCCACCAAAAATAATTCTTACGATTTCAGTTGGGTTCGTTATATTCACTTACGCGGAAAAACCCTTGAGAAAGCTATAAACCTTCCTCTTCTCCCCAGCTATAAGTTAATTAGTAAGACCTTTATCATTAAACCATTATTATCTCCCACAAAAAAGAAATTCTTACAATCTAAACATATTTTCTGGCTTTAAATAACCCACAAAGGAAAAAAAGAATAAATCAATCAATCTTTGCGATGAATGTAAACGTTTTTCTGGGTTGAAGTTATCCGCCTGATAATCAAGGATCCAAATCTTAGAGTAACTTCTTAAGAAGCTATCCCGGCAGCATGTTTATGATATCGGGGTTATAGTACTGCCATTTGGTGAATGAGATCTGGACTGAGTAGTAGTTTCCGGTGGGACATATCAATGTCATAATGAAGTGTACAGTTACAGCTATACTCTCTGACAATCTAAATAGTTTACACATATTGCTCGTTGTTTGTCACTTTTTTCGCTACCTTGATTCTTCTCCTTGCATCACAACTGAAGTATGTCCATCACTGACAAACAGATGAATCAAACCTAGTTCTTCCAAAATAAATGTAAATCCGTATTTGTTCCATCTCCTACATTAATATAATTCCCGGAGGTTTAATTGCACTTTCGTACTGAAATGTGTCTCAGTCAACGTGTTCCAGTACAAGAAATCACAATCACTGTCTGATTGTCTCCGTGTATCGAATATTGCTCTCTCATCTGGTCTGGTGCTTCTGCTATGTGCTTAGATATTCTTGACAAAAAAAAAAAAAAAAGAAGAAGAGGAAGAAGGATCGGTTAGGTTATCTGTATTGACCTGGCATCTTGGCTTCAGTCACTTTTTCACTGTCGTAAAGTAGCTTCCATGTGGCTTTTCTATAAATGTAACTGTGCTGATCTTTCATAGTAATTGTTCTGATAGATTTTCCTCTATGTTGCCTAAAACTTTAATGCTAGATTGATGGTAAGGTCTCATCATTTTACAGTTGAAATAGTTAGATGTAACCGTAAGTTCTATGCTAACAGTTTCTTCTCTCGTAGATATCCCACTAACGAAGACACTGATGTCCCTATTTATGCGTTTTCGTGTGACCTTTATTCATAATTCATCATTCCTCTTTACTATATTCCTCAGGATAATGTTTTCCAGTTTCATCTAATAGCCGAGAGGACTGATGTTAGCCGTGGCTGATCATGTCTCTCCACAATTTCTTACCCTTTTTAGCTCTTAATAAATTTGTCTTTTTGCTGCATCATTTAACCTCTGTTCTGGCAACCATTTATACACTAGGTAGTTTATGCGCTGCATTCCTTTGTCCTTCTTGCCTTCAATATGTCCTATGAGTATCAAATTTTCCAAGCCCACTTTCCTCATTATGCACCCTAGAAATTTCAACTTTCTCTTTCCAGTGCTACGTACAAGTGTCCTTCTTGTTCCATTTTCTATGATACTTCACCGTTGCTCACGTTTCTAGTCCATTTTATTATCGGCATCCTTCTGTAGAACCACATTTCTGTTACCGCAAGTTTCTTCTCCATCTGTGATGGGATAGGCCAGCATTCACTGCCATACATGAGTACCGATATTACATGACATTTCAGTGCGCTTTTCTTTGATTCTAAGGAAATATTTCTTTTTCTTAATACTTTGCTTAGCTTTTGAAAGGCGTCTTTCGTTATCCCTATGCGCCGTCGGTTCTCGGTATCACATTTTCCATCCTCTGTTAAAACACTTCCTAGATATTTAAATTTTTGTAATTGGTTAATTTTGGCATCTTCAATTCGTAGTTCACATCTTGGAATGTTCCTTTTGTTGACAACTATGCATTCTGTCTTCTTACAATTGATATTTAGTCCTTTCTTCTTGCTTTCCTTTACTACCTTCTGTAGTAGTTCCTGTAGTTTTCTTTCCGTGTCTGCTATCAATACTTTGCCATCTGTATATCTTACAATGTTAAGTTTATGGCCGCCAATAATGAATCCAGGTAAAAGACACACCCTTTTCATGTTTGTGCGTTTACTGATCCACCCTTATTTCTGGGTGGTTTTTTTCCCGTATTGAAAGTTTTGTCCCTTACAAGAGGTATTAGCAAAGAAACTTCAATTCAAATTTTAATCATAAAAATTAAACTTAAACTTTATTTTAACTAATTATACTTAAACTGTATTTTAAGTTTAATTTTTATGATTAAATTTGAATTGAAGTCTCAGTTTTAAAACATGGGATTTTGTGTGTTGCGATGGTAAATATTTATTTATAATATATAAAAAACTGTATATATATATATATATATATATAATTTAAAGTATGCTATATTACGGGTAAAATGTTCAATGTCAGTGATAGAGCGTGTGTAAATATAAAAGTGAACACTAAGGTCAACACAGTCTGTTTCATGCTAGGACACAACCATATGGGAATTCTGAAAAATTCTCACCTTTCCCAAATCTGACCAAATGTGGAGAATTCATTTTGAAATGCATCTTGGTCAGGATAAAATGTACTGGGGCCGATGAAAAAGCCTTTCCAAAAATGTTTGGCCATTTGATCAAATTTTGGGAACTAGACGGGCCAAGGACCTTAGAGCATCTCCTTATATATGTATACGGCAGATAGAAAAATAAAATCTGCTGCATCCATATATACGAGAGTAGATCAACAGCCATGTGCCAGGTTGAATTTTGATTTGAAATATAAATTGTAGCATGCTTAATCATCGAGGGGATGCTGAAAAATTATTGTTTTAACCCAAATCTGACAACATAACTAAATCAGTTTTTAGTTACTTCATCGGGCGTCGGATTAATATTGACATTTGAATTAAATGCATTGACAAGAAAGTATATTAGGTTGAAAAATAAATATTAGTGTAAAATAAATTATTTTGTAAGCATTAAGCTGTTTATATTATATATATATATATATATATATATATATATATATATATATATATATATATATATAAACATGCACACAACTCATACACCCATAATAATGGCTAAGAGTATAGCCGAAAGTGCTCATTTGGAGAGTTTCTACACACACTGTGTCGAGAAAAGAAAACATTTGATCGAACACAAGAAAAATTAAATAAAAAGCTTAATCGCAGTACATTGTCTGTTGGCTTTAATGAAACATATGTAAATGAGGGATTGCTGCTTAAATAAACACACACACACACTTATATATATATATATATATATACTCGAGTATATATATGATGGTCTGAAAGAGGTATTTGGTCCTCAGAAAGGTGGTGCTTCCCCATTGAGCACAGCTGATGGAGAGGCATTGCTAACTGATAAATCAGATATTCTCAATCGTTGGAAGGAGCACTTTGAAACCGTCTTAAAACACCTCATCTGTCATTGACGACGATGTCATGTCCTCTATTCCTCAGAATCCAGATATTCCAGAATTGTCATTGGAACCTGCTTATCAGGAGGTATGGGAATCCATCAAACAAATTGCTTCTGGCAAGTCCCCATCACCAAAGGATCCAATTCCACCTGAAGTGTACAAGCATGGTGGGCATGCGCTGGTAAAAAGCTCCATGCTCTCTTTGTAAAGATATGGAAAGCAGGCCGAGTTCCACAGGACTACAAAGATGCCTGCATCAAACATCTTTACAAAAAAAAAGGGAGTCAGGAATGTTTGTGACAACCATCGGGGGATATCTCTGCTTTCAATTGCAGGAAAGATTCTGGCTAGGCTCATTCTAAACCGAATCATGAAGCGTCTCGTTGATAAGGTGCATCCAGAGTCCCAATGTGGGTTTCGGTCGGGTCGCGGCACCATTGATATGATATTTTCCTTACGTCAGGTGGCAGAAAAAGGTCCGTGAAAAAATCAGGAATTGTATATGGTGTTTGTTGACCTGACGAAAGCCTTCGACACTGTGAATCGTGATGCTCTTTGGCAAGTTTTAAGAAGGCTTGGTATTCAGAAAACATGCTGAACGTGATCATTTCATTTCACGAGGGGATGAAGGCCAACGTTGTCTCAGATGGTATGATGTCTGATCCATTTGATGTTACTGAATGGGACAAAACAAGGATGTGTAATGGCGCCAGTCCTCTTTGCGCTCTTCTTTTCACTGATGCTGAAACATGCATTTAGTGATTTGGACACTGGTGTCAAGTTTCAATTTCGGTCATCCGGTGGCTTATTTAACCATCAACGGTTTAAGGCCAAGACTCTTCTTCGCACCGAAATTATTCGCGACTTGCTCTTCGCTGACGATGCCGCACTGGTAGCCACATCCTTTGAAGAAGCCCAGGTTCTTCTTGATCGTTTTCAGCCGCGTGCAGGGCCTTTGGCCTGACAATTAGCATAAGGAAGACTGAGGTAGTGCATCAGCCACCCTACTCCAAAAACAAGTTGAAGGCGTAAAGCAAAATCCACCAGAGTATAGATTTCCTGCGCGCAAGCTGAAAGTCGACGGTCATGATATCAATTATGTCAAGTCCTTTCCTTACCTTGGTAGCAAAAAGTGAACCAAAGCGGTTCTCTTGACGATGAAATTGTCAACAGGATTGCTAAAGCCACTTCTGCCTTTGGAAATCTTCGCCATCGCTTGTGGAACGAAAGGGGTATTCGACTAGACACAAAAATCCTTGTCTACCGTGCTGTTGTTCTTTCCGTTCTTCTTTATGGATCTGAGTCATGGACCCCATACAGACATCACATTAATCAGCTGGACGTTTTCCACAAAAGCTGTCTACGCGCCATATGTGGTCTTAGCCTCCGCGACAAGGTATCAAATGCCGAATTATTCACAAGATGCAAAATATCTGGCATTGAATCATTCCTTATTCA